AATAAAACAAGTCGCCGTCTACCCGTCCCTTCTGCCGCCGCTGTGGCGCCCATCACAAGCTGCAGCCAAAGCACATACACTTCTGCACCCTGTAAACCAGCACCCCTCAGGCAGGGCAGCCGTCTTTGGGCGATGGCAGTTGCAGCTCCAGGTGTGCCTTGCCTTGAGAGTGCTAGAGCCGTAAGCCGGGGCGGCTGCCCACCTCCCTGCCTCCCCCTGCCGTGCCCAACCTAATGTTGAGCGCCCACCAGCACGCATGGTCACAATGCGCTTGTACAGGCAGCCTGTTGAGCATCCCACAGCACAAACCATCCCCCAACATCTGCCGACAGCTCGGCGCCCCCTGTGCCAGCAGGACAGGTGACGCATTTGGCGCCCTGCCTGTGCCGTTCGACATCCCTGCTCTTCAGCATTACATGCAGATCGCATAGCACGAAAAGCGCCGCAAGGAGTCGCAGAGTCGTGGGGCGGCAACGGAACGCTGCTGGAGAGCGCCGCTTGAACGGGAGAACGCCCCTTGGACGTCAGGATGCTAAAACAGTTCCTCTCCTTCAAGCGAGAGAAGCAGGAGGAGCAGGAGGCGCTCTTCCTGCAGCCCGGCTGGGGCGCCCCCTCGCAGAACAGGCTCGCCCCCAGCGAGTATGTGGAGTGGTCCGAGGCGAGTTTTGTAGCTGCTGCTGCCGAGACCCGCAACTGGCTGCCGCCCGGTTTTGACGGCGGCAGCGGCGGGCGGGGTCGCCAGTTCCCGCACCCACCCTTCCCTGGACCACCCAGCACCCTGGCTGGCACTGCCCTGGCGCCTCACTATCCTGAAACATTTTGGGTGTTTGGAGCTGCTGCCCGCAGGTTCAGACCTTCCTGCAGATGGCAGAGCAGGCGCTGGCGGTGAGGAGCGCCACCAACGAGCACCTGCGCACCCAGCTGGCCACAGAGCGCAGCGAGAAGAGCGAGGTGCGCGCGAGACGGGGGGGACACTCACGGCCCTGCTGCCTGACAGCAGCCGGTACTGCTGCCCCGGTGCCTGCCCCCCACAGCGCCGTGTGGTCCTGCCCCAGCCCTCGCTCACACCTGCCGCCACCCTCTGCCCTGCCCCGCCACCTCTCCCCACCCCTTGCCCCCCACCGCCGCCCTGCGCAGGTCCAGAAGACGTCCAGCGCTGCGCAGGAGGAGTCTGTGTTCCTGGCGGAGCACATGCAGAGCCTGATGGATGAGCGGGCGGCGCTGAGGAAGGAGCTGGAGCGGGCGCAGCGCGCGCAGGAGTACCTCACCTCCGAGAACGAGCTGCTGCGGCAGGAGCTGCTGGGTGGGTGGCCGGCGCTGTGTGTGTGGCGGGCGGCTGGGGCGGTGCAGGAGGAGGGGTGGAGCGCGTCGGCGGCCCCTCGCCTGTGCGTTCCGCCACGCCCTCCCGCGCGCATCCGCTGCTGGTGCAGAGGGTGCGGCGCTGGGCGAGGAGAGCGGCGCCATGCTGCAGCTGCTGGCGCGGAGGGAGGAGGAGCTGCGGGGGGCGCAGGCGGAGCTGCTGGCGGCGCAGCAGCGCAACGTGCAGCTGGAGAACGACAATGTGCAGCTGCAGGCGAGGGTGTCGGGTGAGCGGGGCCGCGGGACGCGGCTGGGCGGGACACGGCACACGCCACCTGCCGCCGCGCCAGGGCTGGCTGCCCGGTGACTGGCGCGGCGTCCCGCAGCATCGCTCGCCGCCGGCCCCGCCCGCTCAGCGTCCCCTCGCCGCGCCGCGCGCCCGCCGTGCAGCGCTGGAGCGCGCCCACACCGCGCAGGCCACCGCCATGCTGTCGTGCCTGGAGGAGAGCGAGCGCGTGCGCCTGCAGCAGCTGTCCATCTCCATCCCAGACTCGCCCCAGGTGGCGGCGCACCCACCCCGCCGCTGCGAGCTCGCCAGCGACGGCGGCAGCAGCACGGGGGCGGACGCCTGCGCCGCCTGCTCCAGCGCCTACACAGACGCCCTGGACCTGGGTTCAGACGGCAGCTACGTCTCCTGTATCACGCCCTACGGCAGCAGCGCCACCGGCGGCGCCGCCGCGGACAGCATCTTCCGCTCCGCCTCCAGCTCGCCCTCGCCGGGGGGCGGCGGCGCCACCAGCAAGCAGCAACCGTGCGGCGGCAGCCAGCCGCCGGGCAGCGGAGGGATGATAAAGGCGTGCAGGGGATGAGCGGGCAGCTGTGGCGGGTGCCCAGCCTTGGGGCTGCCTCACCACACCCAGCAAGCCGCATGCACCTGCCTGCACCACGCTTCCCGACCAACGCTACCTGCACCTGCTCCTCAGCGCACCACCTTGTACCCAGCATGCATTGTGCCTCCTCCGCACACCTAAAGCGGCCCCCTCCCAATTTTCAAGCCCAGGGAGGCGTAGCTCCGCCGCCCTGACGCTGCATGCCAGCCCACATGACCCCACATGACTGCAGTTGACGCATGCCTGACTCCCGCACGCATGCCCCATGCCCCAGCAGTTGCCAGGCTGTAACCTCACGATGCTCACACAGCAGCAGCAATGGGGTTTCACAATCATCAATTCAGGCTGTGGGGAAAACGTTGGGGCAGCGGAAAAGGAAAACTGCAAGGAAAAAATGGGGGGAGGGGGCTCCGGTCAAAGTGCTGGGACGGGCAGGAGGTACAGCCGCGCAGTCTGATGCAGCACGAGGGAAAACGGGTGATGCTGGAGAGCAAGATGGCATGAAAGGGGCTAGCTGCCTGGAACAAAAGAGGAAATGGGAGGGATCAACCCCCTGTGGCACTCGCTGCGAACTAACTCAAAAGGGCAGGTGCCAGTGTGATGAGATAAGATGAGAAGGGATAAGAAAGGGCAGCCGTAGCAAGTTAGCAAGCCCAAAGTAGCAAGTGTCATCCAATGCAGCACGGCAGCCCTCCTCAGTCGATAAGGTGCGGCGCGTGCCATAGTCAAGTGCTGGGCGCCCCGGCTGCTCGGCTGAGGGCGCGGTGATTCCGGCTGCTGGGGGCCCCGCGGGGGCGGGCGCCAGAGCCGAGTAGTCGCGGCGCACCGCCGCCTTCTGAGCCTGACGGGTGGCGGCGTGGAACGACTGCAGCGCCGGATCCAGCAGCCCGCTGACCGGCAGCACCGGGGTGCTGGGGCCCTGCAGCCAAGGAGGGAGTGGTGCATGCGCTCGCTCGCATGGCCGCACAGGCGGCATGCAGTGGTGCAGTGCTGGCTTGTGCCCAGTTGGGGCATCTGTGGGTGTGTGTGTTGCGGCAGCAGCGGCTGCTCACCAGGTTGCGGCGCAGCAGCGCCTTGGCCAGCACCATGCGGTTGCGTGTGTAGTGGTACTCTATCTGCTCCTCGCTGTACCGCATGGGGTGGCCTGGGCAGGGGCTGTCCCGCACGGACACCCACGCCCGCCAGTTGGCCGCCACCGCCCGGAAGCTGGGCTTGCCCTCCATGCCCAGGCTGCTGCGCCGCGAGCAGATGCTGCCCAGGCTGCCCAGGGGCGGGCTGCTGAGGCTGGCGCTGAGGCCAGAGCCGGAGCGGCAGGCGGCGGGCTCCTCTGCCGCCGCCGAGCCAGGCACCGGCAGCGGCGCCGCCTGCGGCTGCGCGGCACCGGCCAGGCGGCCGGCGGCTGCCGTGACCTGCTTGGGGCTGGCGGGGGGCAGCGACGCCACATCCAGCCCCGACCGCGGGCTGCTGCAGCCGCTGCTGGCGCACGGGGTGCTGCCGCCGCTGACGCTCTCGGGGTCGCTGCCTATCGTGCTGCGGGCGCCGCTGCTGGGGCAGGCGGAGGGCCCTGGCTGCCCCCCCTCCTGCTCCTCCTCCTCCTCGCTGTCCCCCTCCAGCACAGGCTCGAAGCTGGCCTCGGCAATCACCGCCTCTGCCGCCTCCACATCCACCTCCGGCAGGTGGAACTTGCGGCTGGGGGGAGAGGCAGGGGAGGAGGGGTGGCGGGCGGGCGTTCAGAAGCGGCACCACAGCCGCACACGACGCCGGGAGAAGGCAAGCAGAGCGCGGACACGGACACGCAAGCGTGGCGCATGCCGCCCCTTCATCCCACCGCAGCACCGCAGCACCTGGTGTTGTGCACTGCCGTGTGCAGCGCCATGCGCACGTACAGGCGGGTGGCGGCGGGGAGGGGGTTGGGCAGCTCCTCGGGCTTGGGGGCTGCGTAGGGCACATCGTCAAAGATGACCACGCAGCGCAGGCTGAACCAGGGGCCGAAGCGCGGGTGCAGGCAGAGGTGTGAGTCGTGGTCCAAAAACGCCAGCCCGCTGTGGTGCGCCATGCGCTGGAAGGCGACATGCTCGCTGGCGCCGCCGCCGCCGGCGGGCGCCTGCAGGTCGCCCGTGCGGCGGTGGCTCCAGTAGATGCGGTGACGCAGCCTGCGGGGCAGGGGGCGCCGGCGGCAGGGTCAGGCTCGCTCCGCCGCCTTCTCTGTCCATCCCTCCATCTCCCCCACCTCCCTTTCCCTCTTGCTGTCCCTCTGCACATCCACCCCTCCTCTCCCCATCCCTCCCATGCCCCTCAACGAGCGCACCCGGGTGCGGCGGCGGCCAGGCTGGAGCACACGGTGCGCTCCAGGTACAGCTCCAGCGGGCTGCACGCCTCCTGCAGCTCCTCGCTGGCGCCCAGCGCCTCCAGGAACGCCTCCCAGATGGCCCGGCTGTTGCCTGCAGCAGCCAGGCGGGTGATCGGCTCAGGGAGAGGGCCTCAAGGCAGGCGGAGGGTGCACGACAGGCCGGGCGCCGAAGCTCACCGATGAGCACAGCCAGCGCGTCCTGGCCGGCGGCGCCGTGGGCAGGGATTCTCGCGCCTAGTTCATCTGGGATGCTATCGTTGTACCTGCAGGGTGGAAAAGTGGGAGGCGGCAGCGTTACGGCCCAACGTCCTCTCTCCGGCGCGCAGATTGCGGCGGCGCGGCGCTGCCGCTGGCTCCACCCCCAACAGTAGCGGCTGCAGGCGGTGCAGGCCACTCTTCCACGCACACATGGAGTTCGGGGGCGGCCTGCTGAGCTCTCGAGCGCTGCCCAAGGTGCCATCACAAACCGCTAGTCAACCCGCCCGCAGGCAGTCCCAACGAGAATGCGGCCACACCGGGCCCAAATCTCACCAGCCTAGAGCCAGGAGGTGGCAGACGTCCACCCCGCCCCGACCAAGCTCCACGCTCAGCTGATGGTAGAGCTCCGCAGGCTCCATGGTGGCTTGTGCAGCCCTGTCGATGCGATCAAAGGGGCGCCGGGACGCAACGCCAAGGGTGTGAGGTTGAGGACTGACCAACAGGCGCTGTGGGTGAACCTGCACCGAGCGGAGCCCTCTCTGGATAGCAACAGGCAGTGATCAGCGAGATGCCGAATCAAAGGGGCGCGCACGACACGGGTGAGTCAGGGCATATAGTCCTGCCGCCGCTCTGCAGTACGGCCGTATACGGGCATGCGGTTGGGTGGGTGGTGGGATCTCAACGAGGCCTCTGCCTGGCAAAGAGTGACTTGACATACTGTACATGGATCATTCAGGTTCACTAGCTACCAAATTCAAGCAAAGGGCGCTACCATTCAATGCCGGGCGTGCGGTTGCGGTCCCCGACGTGCCCTGACGCGTTCATGAGACACAGACCCCGATGTGCGCTGCAATGAACCCCACCAGGAACCAGCTCAAGCAATAGATGGGCAACAGGGAGAACGTTTGCCGCCTGCCGCCGCTGAGGCCATGGGTGATGTACACCCAGCAAAGCTGAAGGCGAGGGAGGCACACAAGCCAACCGCTCAAACGGCAGGCGCTCTAATGGTGTGCGAGGCAGCCAGGTGGCGGAAGGACATACAGGCCCGCCAACTCACTGGGAACAGGAAGACTGTGAGCAGCTTGCGCTGGAGGCCCGGGATGTCCTGCTGGTAGAACCACCACACCGCCGCCAGCAGCACTGCGGCGCTGAAGTGCAGGCCGGCATAGGATGTCTGCGGGTGGTGGGGCGGGCCTGAGCTCTGCGGTGGCGCAGCAGCCTGCAGCTGCAGAGGAGGGACCCATGGGCTCCAGCACATGTCGACCCGTGGCTTGCAGACCGGTTACAGCCGCTGGCACCTCAAGAAACACCACAGACGCAATGAACTCCCGAACAGAAACCAAAACAAAGGGCCTACCTGCGACAGCTCCTCAGTCAGCTCATCCAGCTGCATGCGGGTTTTCTTCAGGCATCGCAGCGCCTGCAAAGAGTAGCACCACAACCACATGGCACATTGCCAGCAGCCGGGAGCACAAGCACCAGAGCGCATCAAGGCAGCTGATGATCTAGGCCCCCAGCAGCTGCGCCACGCCTGGACAGCTTGGCACACCTTTTTCTTGTCCCCTTCATTGGCATCCAGCGCCTCCTGCAAGTCCTTCAGCGCCTGCAGACATGAACAAATAGAGGAGGTAGGCGGGCAGCACAACACGAGAGGAGGGTTGGCGCAGCCCTTCTTACCTTGCGATACTGGTCCTCGCGAATGTGCATGAATGACACCACGCTCTTCAGTTCTTGCAACTGCAATCTCATCCCCCGCAGTCAGTTATGAGGAAGCTGAGCGCCAGGTTGGTAATAGCGGGCCGCCGCCCCGCCGCCCCACCACCCACCTTCGCCTGCTCCACAAAGCCAGCCGGCGTCACTCCGGCGCGTGATAGCGCGCTGAAGATCATCCCAAACCACCAAGAGACCCACTGCTGCGACAGCCGCCAGGGCGCGAGAGCTATAGCCGTCACTGCGCTCATGCTGCCTTGGCGGCCCCTATCGGCCACCAGGGAGCCTCCTTTATCCGGCCACGAAATGACGGGCGTCACGCAGGCACCAAGCAGTCAAAAAAGTTGCTGATCAAAATTGGGCGCTGCGTTCTTTGCACACTCTCGGTGTCGCAAACGCTTGTACAAATGCTGGAAGTGTCCACAGATACTGCCAGAATGCTGCCGACCCAGATGTTGAAGAGCGCCACAGCGGCGTCCTGCACCCGTACCGTGCTGGCCGCCATCGTACTTGCAATTCTCTTCTTGTTCTTCTTCTTCTTCATCTTCTGATGCTGCCGTTTACAGTGGTGGGGTGCCATGTTCTGTCCATGTCATTGAGCCTCAAACCCTCACCGTCATTTCTCCAAAGCACTGCGCGTTGCCGCCCATGTACGGCGCCTCTGCCTCCGCCGCCGCCACCTGGAACACAAGCCCCGACAGGCTCCTGCCCGGCCGCATGCTGAACAGGATGCGCGCCTCGGCCTGGCGCTGCAGCGCCGCGGTGGCTGCCGCCGCCGCCACCCCCGCCTTGCAGCCCAGCACCGCCCGCAGCTCGCCGCTGGCGCCCGGCGCGATGCGCGGCACCATCCACCGCAGCTGGCCCGCGTTGCGGCACCACTGCGCCGAGGGGGACACGCGCAGCAGGGCGGTGGCCTCTGGCGGCACATTCAGGTCCACACACACATCCAGCAGGGGCCCCGGCAGGTGGGGGGAGGCCACGTAGCGCAGCACCACCAGCCCCTGCCAGCTGCCCGGCTTGGCCGGGTCGCTGCCAGGCACCACATGCAGCAGCGCCTGCAGCGGCGGCGGGCACGCCACCGCCGGCAGCCTGCATGCAGCACGAGGGAGTGCGGTGTGGAGTGGAGGTCAGGGGGAGGGACAGGGGCAGGAAGAGCGAGCGCCACACCTCTCCCCGCCCACGTGCCAACACCGCTGGGCATCCCCAAGGGGAGCGAGCACAACAGCCGAGTGCATGCCAGCCCCGCCCAGCACTCACGTGTACTGCAGGTAGCAGCAGCCCACAGAGGCCTGGGTGAACTTGGCCAGGAAGGCGCCCTCGCTGTCGCCGCCCTCGCCGCCCTCGCCGCCGCCCGCCAGCTGCTCTGCAAAGTCTCGGTTCATGCCCGCCACCCGCAGGCAGGCGTTGACCACGCCCGCCGCCGCGGGCTGCAGGCGGAAGCGCGCCGCCGCCAGGCCGTAGGGTGCCAGCTTGCGCCGCACGCCGCCCTCCACCCCCGCGCGCAGCACGCTGCCGCCCGCCACCTCTGCCCGCCACACCTCTGTCAGCTGCAGGCTGTCCTGCACATCCTTGGCGGTGATGGCCGGCAGCGCTGGCCTGGCAGGCGCCGGCGCAGGTGCCTGCTCGGCGGCTGCCACCGTCGCGGCCGGCGCGGCCAGCACAGCGCCCGCGTCCCCAAACTGAGCCCACTCCTCTTCCGCCGCCGCCGCGGCTGGCGCCGCGCCCTTCTCCGCCTCTGCACGCACGCAAGGTGGCGGTGCGAGGGTGGTGCTCGCGTGGCAGCCGGCAGCTCAGCACATGTCCAGGGCTGCCCACCATCAACATGCACACCCAGCATGCACACACACTGGGCACGACACCGCTGCTCCTTGGTGCGACATGCCAAGCCCGCGTTCGCTCTGCTGCGTGGCTGCCAGCCAGCAGCAGCCCAGCGCACCTAGCATGGCGACCTCGCCAAAGGCGCCAAACCCCTCTGCATCCGCCGCCGCCGCCTTGACGGCCCCCTCGTCCACCGCACCCTTGAAGGCGGGCGGCGGCGGAGTGGGGCGCTGCGGCGCTGCGAGGCCGGGCCCTGGCTGGCGGCGGGCCACCGCGGCGCGTGCGGGCGGCGGCGGCAGCGCGTCTGGTGGGATGTCGAACGCCACCGCCCCCAGCGGGTCTGCGTGGGCCGCCGAAAACTGCTGGCCGCCGCGGGAGGTCGGCGTCTCGGGCACCGGCGGCGGCGTGGGGTCCCCCGCGCCGCCCTCCTCGCCGCCGCCCTCCTTGCCCGCCACAAAGCTGCTGGCGCCGCGGCCGCCGCCGCCGCGCACCATGCGCTTCAGGCGGCGCGCCGCGTCGGCGGCCGAGGCGGGCAGCACCAGCAGGCGCTCGTCTGTGGCCGAGCTGTGCATGAATGCGGGGGGCAGGGTGGAGAGGCAGGTGGCCACCAAGTCCTCCAGCAGCATGTACACCTGGGCAGCAGGAGGGGGGGCGGGGGCTGGGTTGGGTGAGGAGCAGTGGTGTGGGGAGCACGGCCGCCGCATGGCCGTGCAGTGCTGCACAACAGCCTTCCAACCGGCCGGGCGGATGGCCTCTGCCATGCCAGCAGCCGGCACCCGCCAGCCATCCAGCCGCCCCGCCAGTCTAACAGCCTGGGCTACCCTCCCTTGCACCTGCCACCCACCCACCTCTGTGTACCGCTTGACCAGCTTGTCTGGGGTGACGTCCACGCCCCTGGACACCCCCACCAGCACCTTGGCCACAGCATCCACCAGCTGCATGGCCAGGAACACGTTGGCGCCCGGGGGGGCCACCACCATGGCGTACACAGAGTTGACCAGGCGGTACGTCACGCTGTACCGCCCCTGCACCGCCGCCATGTGCCCCGTGCCAAAGCCGGGCGGGTTGTCGCCGGTGCTGCAGCCAAGCAGGGACCAGACAGGGGTTGGGCAGCTGGGAGAGCAGCAACCATGGGCAAGGCGGGCTGCAGCCGAGGCAGGCACGCGCCCACACTGTTACAAACCGGCCCGCTGCCTGCGCACCCGTCGATGTTGCCCTTGCCGCCGGCTGCCGAAAACTTGGCTATCACGGTGGCCACCTCACTGGAGGCGTCCAGCGCGGCTCGCCCGCTCACGCCATGCCTGCAGCAGCAGCGGTGGTGGCGGCGGGCGGGTGGCGGGGGTGGTTGGCCAGCCGCCCGCAGGCCCTCTGCAGCCCTCCCGCTCCACTCATCCTCCACCTGGTGCCGCCTGGCGCTGGCAGAGCTCCCAACAACGCCCAGTTCGGGCGTGCGGAGGTCCCGCAACGCCCACTCACGTCTGAATCAGGAGGTTGCTGGTCCCATCTTTTGGGCGCAGCACCAGGGCCAGTCGTATGCCCGCCACCATGGCCAGGAACAGCCCGCTGGAGTGGGCTGGTGATCGCGGTGGCCCTTGCCTCCTGAGCGCGGCCCGGTGAATACCTGGCGTCGATCTGGACAAAGGAGGAACGCTGCAACCGCCGGGATGTGCTTTTTCTGCCCACCCAGTCGTGCCCGTCAGCAGAGACACCTGGGCGTGGTCTTCGTGGAGCATACCAGGCCGTGGCGATCCTCCCTCGACACTGCAGACATCTGTCATTTCATCCTCAGGCCCTGCGCAGCCCTGCACACGGTTAGCATCTACCCACTGCTCCCATGCGCTGCTGAGCACGCCCGGGACTCGACAGGAAACCGATGGACGAGGAGCTGGATTACGGGGAGGAGGAGGCAGCGGCCCAGCACTCGCAGGGGCAGGCGGAGGAAGATGGCGACGGCCAGGACGCGCTCGACGCCCAGCACGCACACGCAGGCGGCGATGGCGGGCACGCGGGCGCCGAGGCGGCGGGGCAGCTGCACAACGGCCTCCAGGGCGGCGGCGGCCTGCCCCCGTCGGACGCTCCGCCGCCCCGCCCGGCGGGCGCGGGGCCAGAGGCGGTGCCCGAGGAGTGGCAGGTGATGGATATGCCCGAGGAGTGGCGGCCGCGGCCCATGGTGCGCATCTGGGGCCTGCCGGCGGCGGCCACCGAGGCGGAGCTGGCTGAGCTGCTGGAGGGGCAGGGGCTGGAGCACGGCGTGCGCAGCGTGGTGTTTGACCCCAAGCAGGCCACGCAGGCGGGCAAGGTGGCGCTGGTGCGCTTCGACCCGCCCGCCGCGCCGCCGCTGGGCGAGCCGGGCGCGGCGGCGGCCCCGGAGCCAGACGTGGGCAAGGTGGCGGAGCGGCTGATCGCCGCGCTGCGCGCCCGCCAGCCGCAGCTGCACGGCGTAAAACTCAACGTGGAGAAGACGGGGGCAGAGGTGAGGGTTGGGGGGCGGTGGGCAGGCGGGATGGGAAGGTGGCTGGGTTTGGCAATGGTGGCTTAGGCAGGAAGGAAGCTTATGCGGTGCATCCAGCTGGCTGGCCGGCGCCGTGGCCCCTGACCCGCATGTGCTGCGCCCGCCACCCCTGCCCGCCCGCCCGCCCGCAGGTCTGCCTGTTCCTGGCCAACCTGCGGGGCGAGGCGGAGGAGGACGGCGGCCTGCGCGCCACGTGCGAGCAGTACGGCGCCGTGGAGCGCTGCTTTGTGGTGCGCAACCCCGCGGGCGACTCCAAGCGCTACGCATTCTGCGAGTTCACGCTGCCTGCCTCGGCCGCGGCATGCAAGGAGGCGTGGAACCGCGCGGGAGACGCGCAGCGGCCGCAGGCGCAGCGCGACGCCTCGGGCGCAGGTGGGGGCGCGGTGTGGGGCAGCAGGGTTGACGCTGTGGGGCCGGCCAGCGGACAGGCGGCAGGGCCGGTGCTGGCCTGCCCTTCTGAACCCCACCCCCCTGCACCTGCCCGCCTCAATCCCCCGCCCGCCCTGCCCCTGCGTGCCCCTGCAGCCACCAAGTTTGTGCGCGTCAAGTTGCAGCGCGCCGAGCCCGCCCCTGTCAAGAGCGTGGCGGGCCTGTTTGCCACAGTGCTGTACGTCGACAACATGAGCCCGGTGAGCGGCCGCAGGCGCTTACGCACGCGCTAGGGGCAGCCCGCTGGGAGGGGCCTCTGCCCTGGTGCCGTTGCCAGGCGCATGAGCCTCCCTGGGTCTCCCTCGCCCGGCCTTCAACCGCCTGATACAGCCCAGCCCAGCCCGCCCCAACCCCATGCCCACATTTGCCCCTCCCCACCTGCGCTCCACCCGCAGTCGTTCACCAACCACGAGGCGCTGAAGAAAGTGTTTGGAGAGTATGGCGAGGTGACCAGCTGCTACCTGCCGCGCAACCCCACCAACCCCTCCGCCTGCCGCGGCTTCGCCTTTGTCCACTTCAAGCACTCCTTCGCCGCCGACGCGTGAGTGGGGATGGGAGGGGGTGGCGCGCCGGCCGGCCGCTGCCGTCGCCACCCAGCTGCTGCTGCTGCCTGCTCTCACGTGCCTGGACCCACACCCCCCATGCGGCAGCAGCAGCTCCGATATGCCTAGTATCTGCCTGGGCGCGCACCTGACGTCTGCCCCTCCTCTGCCATGCCTGCTGTGCGCTGCGCGTGCGCTGTGCCTGCAGCGCGTTCCGTGCGCTGGATGAGACTGAGCAGCCCGGCATCGGCAAGCTCCTCATCTCTTTCTCCAATCCAGTTAAGGCCAACGAACACCTGAACCGAACCGCGGGCGGCGCCGGCGCCGGCGCCTCCCAGCAGCAGCGGCAGCCGCGCGACCAGCAGCAGCAGCAGCAGCGCATGGGCGGCGCCGGCGGCCGAGGCGGGGCGCAGGGCGGCGCCATGGGGGCTGGGCGGGCAGGCGGGGGAGCGGCGGCGCCCGTGCCCAGCCCGCCCATGGGTGGCATGCGGGCCACAGGCACCGGCATGGTGAGCAGAGCAGGTGGCGGGTGCATGCGCTCGTGCGCCAGTCTGGTGGGCAGGGCTGGCTGGCTGGATGCATGTAGGCCTGTGGCCAGTGCCTTGCTGCACCTTGGAACCGTTGTGGAGGGCTGCTGGGCCTGAACTGTGTGCTTGCCCGGCCCACCTGCAGGGTCAGGCCGGCATGGGCGGCATGGCAGGCGGCCCCATCATCCTGCCCGCGGCGGCCATGATGCCGCCGCCGCCGCCGCCTCCCAACCCCATGCTCCTGCAGCAGCAGCAGCAGCAGGCTGCAGCGATGAAGCAGGCGCAGGTGGCGATGCAGCAGCAGCTGGCCATGCAGCAGGCGATGATGATGATGCAGCAGCAGCAGCCGTGGCTGGCCATGCAGCAGGCCATGATGCAGCAGCAGGCGGCGGCGGCGGAGGAGGTGCGGGCCAAGCAGGCGGAGCTGGAGGCGCAGGCGCAGGAGGCGGAGCGCAGGCGCAAGGCGGCGGAGGAGAAGGCGGCGGCGGAGGAGAAGGCTCGCCTGGTGAGGCTGGGGCGGGGCGGCCTGGGTGCGAGAGCACAGGGTTTGTTGCATGCCTCGCGTTGTTCCTGGCTGGCTGGCAGGCAGCCGAGGAGCTGCCCGCAGCATGCCTCGCCTGCCCGTCACTCCCTGCTGCTGCGTGACGCTGTGCCTGGGCTGCAGGAAGCCGAGTATGCTGCCCGGCTGGGGTACGGGCTGGGCGCCTTTGGCGGCATGGGCCAGACCGGGGCCTTGGGCGGCTTTGGCGCCAACCCGATGGCGGCCATGGCTGCCGCCGCCGGGCTGCCCGGCTTTGGCGCATTTGGCGGCCTGGGCGCTGCCGGGCTGGGCGCCGCTGGGCTGGGCGCCGCTGGGCTGGGCACGGCGGGCCTGGCCGCCGGCATGGCAGGCCTTGGCGCCAGTGACGCCGGCGGCGGCACCGGCGGCACCGGCGGCACTGCTGCCGTCACCACCAGTCCCGCTGGCCGCAGCCGGGCTGCCGGTGGCTATTCAGCCTACGGCAGCGGCAGCAGGTATGGTGAGGACGACGGCGGCGACGCTCTGTACCAGCAAGGCTACGGCAGCGGCAGCGCCTCTCGCTACACCCGCGGTGGTGGTGGCGGTGGTGACGACTATGGGGGGGGTGACGACTATGGGGGTGGGGACGCCTATGGCAGCCGCGGCGGCGGCGGCGGAGACGCGTACGGCCGCAGCGGCGGCGACGCTTACGGCGGCCGCAGCACCGACCAGTACAACAGCCGCGGCGGTGGTGGCGGCGCTTACGACAGCGGCCGCACCGCTGGCGGCGCCGGGTACGGAGGCGGCTCCGGCTATGGCAGCCGCGGCGGCGGCCAGCGCGGCGGCGGCAACAAGCGCCATACCGACAAACAGGTGGGCCGGGGCATGCCTGCTTCCATGTCCTGATCATGTGTGGGGCGGCCCTGTGTGATGGCAGGCCCAGCCACGCTTATTCAGGCCCAAGGCGGCACTGCCGCTGTGTGTCAGAGGCCAACCTGCCTCCCCGGGGTGCCTCCTGGGTTGTTGGATGCTGATGCAGGGCGGCGGCTTCGGCGACTCCTACAGCTACCCCCCCAAGCGCCCTCGCTACTGAGCTCGCCTGCCCATTGGGCGGATCGATTCAGTGCCCGGCGGGCCTGCCCGGCAACCGTGATCTGCTCCTTGTAAATGCCGAGGCTGCGCCTTTTTCATCTGTTCTCCTTCCTGTAATCCTCAAGTTGATGCTCATTCTTTGCGCGCTGCTTGCTGGGCTTTGCGCACATGTTGCAAAGCGTACACATGCCACGCTGATTGCCAGTTCAACGAGTTGACGCTGGCTTGTTGCATGCTCATTCATACCTCATACTTCCAACAGAGAACTGGTTACCACAAATTTTGCTCCAGCATGCGCACCAAACTTATTTTCTTCCAAGCGGTGGCAGCCTCCTTGCTGCCGGACTTGAACACTCTGGCTGTCAGGTCCTGCATTCAAACTGGTCTTGCATCCATGTGCCGTTCATGACCCACATAATATCGATGGATGGTGGGCTCTGAATGTTTTCGGCACTGCACCATTCCTCTGGTCTGATTGCTTCACATATTCACTTCAGTACAGCCACAGGCCCAATCACCAGCCGCTCGGCAACCCTTGATCGACACTGCTCATTGACTGCAGCATTACACAGGTACTTCCCCTCTCCCCAACAACCGATCACAGTGCCTCCATTCTGCTACCAACCTCCCACACAAATGTCGCTGTCCCCGCGGCTGTGAACAGCCGGCGGCCGCAAGCGCTGAATGCCAGGCCCACCACCGGCTCCCACTCTGCGTGCGCGCTCAGCTCTGCCCAGGCCTCCGTCTCCAGCCGCAGCAGCAGCACGCTGCCGTTGGTGCTGCCCACCGCCAACAGCTCCTCCTTTGGATGCAGCGCCAGCACTGTAATACCCGTGCCGCCCACCAGCGGCGCCATCACCGTCTTGATCACAGCACGTGTGCCGTAGTCAAAGAGCAGCAGCTGGCCGGGGTCGGCGGGGTTGGTGCAGTAGAGGTGGCTGGGGTGGGTGCGTGAGAAGGCGACCTGCACCGCTGGCGCTGGCGACCCGTCGGCGGCGAGGCTCGCTGCCACGGCGCCTCTGCTAGCCACCGCCGCATCTGCAGGCCCAAAGCTGAGGCGGGCCAGCGTGTGCACCGCAGCGTTCTTGGTCCAAGCAGCCCGGCAGACCGCCAGCTCCAGGCGCCCGCACAGCACAAAGAGGGAGGTGTCGACGGGGCACACGGCCAGGCCGGCGACAGGGAAGTTGGAGGGGCACTGCCGCCCGCTCTCCTGTGCGGTGGCATACTGCATGGTGCGGTGCGCAACCTGGCCGCTGCTGCCATCCAGCACGTACAGGGCGCCGCTCCTGCAGGGCACATATTTCACAAAGGCTGGTAGGCACCCAGCTTGCTGGGCCAGTCCAGCCCAGATGCCCCATTCCTCCAGCGTGCGACTGCTGCTGCAGAGTCCTGGGCAGGCGGGCACACACACAGCAGCCCTCACCGGTAGGCCACCATGACCTTGCAGCCACGCATGCGCTGCACCACAGCCATTGCTGCCACGCCACCCTGCTGGGCTGCGCCTGCCGCCTTCCACCGCATGCACGCTGCAGCCGTGTCAAACAGGCAGAAGGTACCGTCGAGATACGCGGCAGCACAGCAGGAGGCATCGTCCGAGAGGCTGGCATGAGTGGCATCCGCTGGCAGGCAGAACTCCACAGCAGGCACCGCGCCCCGGCTGCACGCCTCATCCTGCAAGCAGTGGAGATCTGGTCTGGTCAGCGGGGTTTGGGGACTTGCAGGAGAGGTATACATGGCAGCAGAGCAATCATGATGACGAGCTCACCAGCAGCCAGATGGAGATGCCAGAGGCGGAGGCCAGGGCAGCCGTGGGTGGGATGTTCTTCCAGGCAGCCCCCAGCGCAATGTGGCAGCCCTGCATGCTGTGCTGCTGGCCGCACAGCAGCACACTGGGCGGGGCGCTCGGCCCCGCCTGCCACAGCATACCGCAAGCCGTGGCTGCTGCAACCTGGCTGCTGCCGGCATGAACCTGCAAGCCGGTGACAGCGCCATCCAGCTGCTCGGAGCACACTATGCGCCATGCGCCGCGCTTCAGGCTGCTGTCATGGGCGCCCTCTGCCAGCAGCAGCAGGGAGCCGCTGGCGGTCCCCACCGCACACAGCTGGCCATCTGACTGCAGACAGCTGACTGCCAGGCCTTGCAGGTCCGCCAGCAGCACCGGGCTGTGGGCATCCTGGCCGGCATCAACCAGCAGCCGCCAGACTTGGCCGTTGCCGTCTCCCACAATCACGGCGCTGTCGGCGCTGCTTGCTGTTGTGCCCATCTCCCGCAGCTGCTGCCAGCTGCCAGCGCTGCTCCCGCTGTCGCTGCTGCCATGCCCAGCACCTGCCCCACATGCCACCGCTGACAGGGCCAGCCCGCGCAGCGCAGGCGGCATGTGGACCGCGCTGCTGGTGAGATCCTCGGGCTCCAGCTGCCACTGCACCAGCCCATGGTGGCTGACAGTGTAGAAAGTGGGCTGCTCTGTGCGGGTGGCCCAGGCCAAGCCAGACACAGCCGCAGGCAGCTCCACGCCTGCTACCAGCTCTGCTGGCTGCTCGCCCACCGACCACAGCGCCAGGTGGGTGCCACTGCCAGGATGGGACAGCGTGACCAGCAGGGAGCTGTCGGGGCTGAAGGCCATGCGCTGCAACAGGAGGGGCATCACTCCAACTTCATGCTGCATTTTGGCTGTGGATGAATGCAAGATGGGGGTACTGTGCACGTGAAGGTTCGGCTACACCACAAGCTGGGGGGATACAAGGCATGCAGCAGTGCGCACCTTGACCGCATACGAGTGGTGGCTGAGAACACACCGCACTGCGCCGCTCTGTACCTCCACCAAGTGAATGTCGGCGGTGCTGCCATCCCCGGGAGCAGGCTGCACCGCTGCTGCTGCCAGGCCGCCGTGCACCGCCAGGGCAGAGACCTGGCGTGGCAGGCGGGCGACCTGGCGCTGCCGGCCTGACAGGTCCCAGCTCAGCAGAGTGTTCCCGGCAGCATACACCAGCTGCTGCTGCTGCGGCTCCGGCCCTGCCGGCTGCCAGCAGAAACCTGCACTGGCCTCCATGCCCAGCACATGCCTCACGGCTGCTGATGGTGGAAGCAGCTGCAGCTGCTGGCTGGGGCGGTAGGGAGGGATGCGGTCAGTTGCCACCCCCTCTTCAACCCACGCAGCAGTGCGGTGTGGCTGCTTGGCAGCGCCTATGCCCGGCACCTTGCACGGCGAGGTGATGCGCAGCTGCTTCTGCTGCCGCACAACCTTGGTGCAGCGCTGAGAGTGGGTGGCAGTGATGAGCAGCGAGGCCTCTGGCGCCCGAGGCGGCTGCTCCCAGAATGGCGGCTCTCTGTGGCTGCCACGCATGGGGCTGCCTGGCAAGCTGGCACTCTGCTGCCGGCGGACACGCAAGGCCGCCTGCGGCAGCGCCACGTGCGCTGGTGGCTGTTTTGGGAGCGCGGCAGGCGCGCTGGGTGGACGAGGCGGCAAGTTCTGCAGCACCAATGGCAGTGGCCGGGGTGCTGGAGACTCCAAGGAAGCATAAGCCAGCTGCACCTCAGGACCTGGCTGCTCTGCTGGGTTGTCGGGACGGACAGTAGCTGCACCGCTGTGCCCTGGCACTGGTCCAAGCTGGCAGCTGGGAGCTCGGGGAGCAGAGGGGGCCGCAGATGTGCAGTCCACGTTGAGGTGGATCATGGGGCGCCCGGCAGCGCCTGATGCTTGCTGAGGTCCCTGCGCTGCGACGCTGACCGCTGCACCGCCAGGCTCTATGGCAGCAGCTGCCATTGCGTTGCTTGCCGCCGCAGCTGCGCTGGCCGGCTGGCCGTGGAAGCTCCAGCAGCACACCTCTCCCTGCTGGCCGACAGTCAGCAGCTGTGGGCTGTTGCTGTTGCCCGCAAACACCGCATCAAGCACAGCACTCCCGGCAGGTGGGCAGAGGTCCTGGCATGGCAGGCAGCTGATGACGGCAGCAGCGCCGCAAGGTGCCGCCTCGCCAGGCTGTGCCAGCTGCTGCAGGGCGTTCAGGCCAAACACCTTGAGTGGCCCTCCAGCACTGCCTGCCACAAGGAAGGAGCCAGAGGGATCCAAAGCTGCTGCTGTGCACACTTCGTCACTTAGGCAGCGCGGCACATCCAGCGCCAGGCTGCCATCTGCACAGCCGTAGGCCAGAAGTCTCCCTGCTGCTGTGACGGCAAGCACATGCCTGCTGTCCGGAAGCAGCTGCAGCTGCGCCACCCGGCTGTGCCCAGCCACTGGAAGCTGCAGCAGCGGCTGCATCGTGACCAGATTGTAAAGAATGATGGCGGGCTGCTCTGGGCCACTGGCGCTGCTGCTGCCGCCGCTGCTACATCCAGTGGTGGCAGGCCGCCCCCTGCCGCCGCTGCCTGCACTGGCGCCACCGGGGCTGCACTCGGCCAACGCTGCCACGGCTAGCAGCTTGCCATCCTGGCTGGCTGCCATAGCAGTGGCATGCAGAGGAAAGCCCGCCAGGATAAAGGTGGTGGGCAGGTAGCTGCGCTCGCAGTCATACACACACACACAGCCATCAGATCCTGCGCGCAGAACGCCAGTGTGGTTCTTGACTTGGTTAGCACAGCCCCCGATGGACATCAGCGCATCTGCAAGCAGGCGTCTCACCCAGGCTGAGCAGCAGCCTGCCGTTCCGAGCGTACAGCAGCCGGGTGACCGCCCCCGAGTGCTGCCTGCTCTCCTGCACCAGAGCCGCGCTGCTGATGTCAAAGATGCGCAGCATGCCGCTCTGGAAGCCGCAGGCCACCTCAGGCTTGCTTGGGTGGCAGGCAACGCTGCAGCAGAGAGAAACACGAGGGATGCCACTGTCGCCAACATGAGCCGTGTACGTGGATGTGGCTTGCTGACAGCTCACGACGGCCCTCTCTTCGCTCCTACCCACCTCAGCACCGTCTCCTTGGGAGCAGAAAGCTCCAGCACCTGCTGATGTGTGTCGGCGTCCCACACACGCACCGTACCATCCGCCCCTGCAGTGCAGTATTGCTGCCGTGCGTGCCCCTCCTCCCCAACCAGCGCCACCGAGTGCACAGCCGCCGTGTGGGAGCGCAGCAGCGTGGTGTATGTTTGGGAGGAGACGTCCAGCAGGCTCAGAGCCCCGCTCTCAGTCCCCACCGCCACTCGCAAGCCGTCTGGTGACAGGCCGATGCCTGCAGTGCTTGCACACGCAACATGTTGTGAGAATGCTTTGGTTTCCAGGTTGCAGACGTGGCACCAACCGTGAGTGTGCCTGCTGGGCTCCCCCACCTGTGACTGCGCCCTCGTGCCGTGCCTCCATGTAGACTTCCTGCAAGTCGCTGCCCCACACCCGCAGCCGGCAGTCTGCGGAGCCGGTCACACAGAAGCCGTCGTGCACCGCCAGGGCCGACAGCGCCGCAGAGTGCAGCTGCGCCACGCCCTCCACCGCCCGCCCCTCCAGATTGGCAGTGTACAGGGCGCCTGCAGGTGGGCAGGCATGCGGGCGGGGCCGACACCAAGGAGGAAGGGTGATGCGCCAACAGGCAGCAACCCCGGCTCCGGGGCAGCCCAATCTCACTGCTGCTTCCCAGGCTGCTCCCCCAGGCTGGCACACCCACCTGACAACGACCCTACATACAGCCGCCGCGCTTCCAGCGGTCGCACACGCAGCGTGTGCTCAAACGCCAGGCATGTGAACACCTCCCCCACGGTGGCGCCAGCGCTGGCGCTGGTGCCGCTGCTGTAGGGCCGACGCAGCGCTTGCACGCCTTCCATCGGCAACGACATGCCGCGCAGCTGCCCGCCCTTCAGCCTGCACCACACGCCGCCACAGCACACCCTCAGAGACGACCACGCCCTGCTGCTGCTTCCCTGCAACCAGCAGGCATGCAGCATGCACAGCAGCAGGCGGAAGGCGGGAGCTGAGCACACGCGCCTGTATGTGCGGATGCTGTTCTTGCCGCAGGTGACCAGTGTGGTGGGATCATAGGGCACACACTTGACTGCCTGGATGTTGTAATCGCTGACATGCCTGGCCAGCTCCACCGCCCTGCCGCCTCCGGCAGCCTCGGGGGCGCAGCAGGCCGACACATCCCAGCACACCAGCTCCTGCCGCCCCTGGGCATCCACTCCCGCAGTAGCTAGCAAGCTGCCATTTGGCGACAGGTCGAGGCAGAGCGTGGCGCCGGCATGACCTGCGGGGCAAGCATGGGAGCAACACCACAGTGATAGGGGCACAGCCAGCTTTCCAATTCATGACGCCTGAGGCTGCGGATCAGGATTTCAGTGATGGCCTGTCAATGTGGCGGCTGTGGAGTGCAGGTGTGCGCACCGGGGACTGTGGCTAGGCAGCTGCCCTGGCGGAAGTCCCACAGCCGCAGCGCGGCACTAGGCCCCTCCTCTGCCGAGGCCAGCCTGGCGCCGTCGGCGCTGAGCGCCATGGCACGCACCGCCCCTCCATGTCCCTTCAGGTGTCGCTGCTGGCCATCCGATGGCTGCATGCCGACAATCAGTGAGCCGGCACCGAACACAATCTCCTGTGCAGCGTTGGCGCCGGCGCTGGGCACCCAGTGCAGCATCCCGGGGCCGCTGCAGCCTGAAAACGCACCGACTCGAAGCAGCTGCGCAATGGGTTGGGGCTGCAGCTCCGGCTGCTGCTGCTGCTGCTGCTGCTGCTGCTGCTGCTGTCCGCCGCTTGCCGTGGCGTCCACGGAGGGGTGGCCACGCTGCTTCACCTGCCTTGGACGACCCGGCGGCGGCACGGGCGGGTGCGGCGACCTGGGACGTCGCTTGGGGGGAGCTGCCAGTGCCCCCCGCGGCTCCTCTGGCACCCACAGCACCCTGGACTGAGACGCATCAAAGGCTGCTGTGAAGGCTAGGTCTGCCGGCAGGCACTGCAGGGAGCAGGGACAGCGGGCAGTTTAGGTGGGGCACCCGCGCTGCCTGCCATCCTTGTAAGCGCCTGCCGCAGAAGTGGCAGCACCGTATCCCCACATGCTTGCTGGACGCTGCCCATTTTTGTCCCCAAGGGGCCTCGCCCACTCCACCAAGCCCACCCACCTGCCAGTCGTAGCGCACATCAGAGGTGAAGGCCCCCCGCACCGTCATGTTGGCGCACAGGTGCAGGGCGCGCAGCCTGGCGTAGGGCGACCTGCCGGCCTGCTGCGCCAGAGCCTCCAGGTCTAGGGCCAGCAGCGTCCAGCCGTCGTGGGCCGCGGGCAGGAACACCTGCACCCCGCTGCGCTTCATGCGCGCCCCCTGCTGCGCCGCGTGCAGGTTGCTGACCGACACGCGGTGCAGGCCGCGGTCGGCGGCGGCAAGGTCGGCGTGTATGGCGTACGGCTTGCCCGGCTCCATGCGCAGCTGCAGGTACAGGAAGCGCCCCGCCGCGCCCAGGCTGTCCTCCCTTCGCCGCGGCAGGCGCAGGCTGTTGGCGGTGGGCACTGAGCCCGCCAGCCGCACCACCACCCGCCCGATGCCGCGGTCCTGCGGAGGTGCATGCAGGGACGCATTGAAAGGGGAAAGGCGACGAGGCGCTGGCGCCGACGGTCCCAGAGCGGAAGGGCCGCCAGTGGTGCAGCGGCGTCCCCCGGGGCAATACGGAGCTCACTGAGACGCACCACAACTGCAGATACATCGCCCGCTCGCTGAAAGTCGCCTCCGCGGGGCCATCGGTCCACTCCGCACTGCTGAAACAGGTCGGTGAACTGCAGTTGAGGCCGCTGCTGGGACTGGCGCACCATTGTCGGGAAATTCACGGCTGCATTGGCTCGCAACGAAACGCTGGGAGTCAACAAGGCCAGCTGCGTGCTGTGCTGTGCAAGAGCAGGCTGGACAAGAGCAGGCGCGCATTCTGCCACATTTATCAGCACCCTGCCCTGCCATTGCACTTCAGGACACAGCGATAGGTACCCCGCCGCACAAACAAGTGAAGGGCGAAGCACCAGCGTTTGGTTAAGCGAGCAGCAGGAGGCGCAGCAGGAAGAACACAGAAGAGGCAAGCGTGGCTGCGACCGAGGAGCCTTGCGCCGCCATGCATGCCGCCGCCGCCGCATGCCGCCGCCGCTACCTGCTGAACCTCTTCCGGGCTGAGTTCTGCCTGCAGGACATGGGCAAGAGCATCCGTCGCCATCGCAAGCACAAGCCGAAGATCATAAAGCGGCACAAGAAGAAGCCGCACGTGAAGAGCAGCGTGCCGCAGGAGCTGGTGGTAAATGCGGCGGAGATCAAGGAGAAGCTGGGAATCGAGTGAGTGCAGCAGCCCTTGCTTTCCGTGCCGCAGAGGTGCTCCTGTTGCCCTCTAGCAAGGCTCTTCGACGAAGACTCTACTGCCTGAGCGCCGCTGCTCCTCCCCATGCCGTCCACCCCCTGGTTCCTGTGCCCAGGCCCGAGTGGGACCAGCAGGACCATGTCGACGGCAACTACGAGCGGGCGGGGCTGGTGGCGGATGTGAATGCGGCGTTTGGGCGCAACCGGCGGCGCGATGTGCTCAAGGAGAAGGTGGAGCAGCACCCCGAGCAGCTGGAGCAGGAGCCTGACGATGAGTTCAAGGCGGCATGCTCGCAGGTGCGGCGGCAGGGCAGCGTTGGCGATGCCGAGGCTGGGGCTGCCCCCCGCTCAGCTGGCATTCCCTCCTTAGCTGGCGCATGGGCATGCCAGCAGGGGCGGGGCGCTGGCCATGCCTGCTTCCATGCATCACCTTTTGATTGCCATCTCCTGCGCCCCGCCCCGTGCAGATGCGGAGCAGCGGCAAGGCGGCGCCCAAGCGGCTGACCTCCCACCAGCGGCAGATTGTCGGGCGGCTCATCGAGCGGCACGGGGATGATGTGGCAGCCATGCAGCACGACCGCAAGCTCAACCCCATGCAGCACTCGCAGGGCGTGCTGCGACAGCTGGTGGAGTCGTACCGCCACTGGGGGCCGGGTGCAGGCGTGGACTTCAGGGCGCCCCACAAGCGCCTCTGGTGATGCTGATGCACCGCCTGCTCCCTGCTGTTCCTCCCTCGTTGCCTGCTCCCCCTTCCTGCTCCCACCTCTGCTCCCCGCAAACTAGAACTCGTGTCACACACAGTGGGGGAGGCGGGGTCCCTATGCTTCGTAAGAAACGAAATTGGTGGTACACATCGGTTGGTTGGATTAATCCCAACTCCATTGGCAATGCGCAGTGTGCAGCTACCGGTTGGTCAGGGTCTTTCTACCAGAGGAGGGGGGTAGATGGGACGGGCAGAACAGACAAACAGAATCTAGGGTTGAGGAAAAGAAGAGGGGCGGCAAAAGGAGGGGGTGGCAGCAGGGGCACTCCCAGAGCAAGGGGTAGTGACAGACAGGGCGTCAAAAGCAGAAGGACCCCGCCAGCGGGTGGACCCGGAGGGGGGCGGGGTGGGCGGCGGCGCCGAGGCGCAGCCGGCGGGCGGGCAGCAGCGCATCCCGCGCCGCCGCGCGCTGCGCCGAGTCGGCGGCGTGCCGCGTCGCTCGGTACGGAACGCGCTCGGTAGGTACGGCACACACTGGGCTGTGCCCGCTCAGCTCAGTACAGCATCACTGACTTGCCCTTGCTCTCCTTCTCCTGCTGGATGCGCTCGCGCCGCTGCCGCAGGCGGGAGGCCACGTAGAAGGCCATCTCCAGCGCCTGCTCCGCATTCAGCCGCGGGTCGCAGTGCGTGTGGTAGCGGCTGCTGAGGTCCAGCTCGCTGACGCACGCGCCGCCGCCGATGCACTCCGTCACGTTGTCGCCTGCGGCAGTGGGAGAGGGGGGGGGGGGGGGGGGGTAAGCACAGGGCGTGGAGGAGGAGGTCGGCACAGCCTGCGCGACATATACCAGGCTGCCAGTCCGCCCAGCTCTGCAAAGCTCTGCCAGCCTGCCTTTTCACCGCCACCAACACCACCACCACCACCACCACCACCACACCAGCCCCCCCCCCCACACCCACCCACCCACCCACCCGTCATCTCCAGGTGGATGCCCCCCGGCACCGACCCGCACTCCTCGTGCACATCGAAGAAGGCCTCCACCTCGGCCTTGATGTTGTCGTACCGCCGCGTCTTGTACCCCTGCACCTCCTCCGTGTTGCCGTGCATGGGGTCGCACACCCAGGCAACCACCTGGCCAGCCTGTGGCAGCAGAGGCGGCGGGGGCGCAGCGGCAGCAGGTTGGCTGGGTGGCCAGGACACTAGGCAGCTGGGACGAGCAGGCGGCACACAGCCTGCTGCGTCTGGCTAGGCACCCCCCCCCACGCCGGCAGCTGCGACGCTGCTGGCGCGGCATCTGCACTGCGGCGGCAGCCGGCGGCAGTGCGCACCTGCTGCACCGCCTCGATCAGCGTGGGCAGCTTCTCCCGCAGCTTCTTGGCGCCCATGCGCACAATGACGGCCAGGCGGCCGGGCGTGTTCTCGGGGTTGAGCGTGGCAATGAGCGCCACCAGCTCGCTGGGGTCCATCTTGTCGCTGACCTGCAGGGGGAGGCAGGGTGCAGCGATGATGGGTGGCGCTGCTGAGGGGTGGGGCTGCTGAGGGGGTGGTGGTACTGGCGGAGGCCAGGTGGATCAAGGCGGCCTGCTGAGCCGGGGTTGCACCTCATCGGCGCTTCCTGGCCTGCATCTGACTAGACCAGCCTGCTGGCCCCCCACCAGGACCTGCCCTCCCACAGCCAGCCCCCCCAGCACGCCGCCCCGCGCCCTCCCTCCCCGCGCCGCGCCGCGTGACCGCACCTTCACGCCGATGGGGTTGCCGATGCCGCGCAGGTACTCCACGTGTGCGTTGTCCAGCTGCCGCGTGCGCTCGCCGCACCACAGGAAGTGTCCGCTGCAGCCGTACCAGAGGCCGGTGGTGGAGTCCTCCCGCGTCAGCGCCTCCTCGTAGTTCATCAGCAGGCACTGCGGGGCGGCGGGGCGGGGGCGGGGGCGGGCAGGCAGCGCGTGGGTGCGTGTTGCAGCAGGGGAGCTGCGCTGCGCTGCGCTGCGCTGCGCTGGGGGTAAGAAGAAACAGCGGCAGCAGCAGCAGCAGCAGCAGCAGCGGCAGCGGAGGAGGTGCGCGGCGCTCCGCCCGACAGGGCGCGCCCGCCCTTGCAGGCAGGCAGGCCGCCAGGCCCACCCCGCAGCGCCGCACCTCGTGCGACACATAGAACTCCGTCTCCTTCATCACGCTGCTGTTCATGTCCAGGCCGCAGGCGTTCATGAAGGAGATGGCCTCGTCCACGCGCCGAGCCAGGTCGGTGTAGGCCTTGCCCTCACCAGAGTTCTGCCGGGGGCGGAGGCGGCAGCATGTGTGCGCGTGTGTGTGTGCGTGTGTGTGTGCAGCTTGGCATCGTTGGGGATGGCATGCCGCGGGCAGCCCGCGGCCGGCTCCTCCTCCCCTCCCCTGCCCTCCTCCGTGGCCGCCGCCCCGTCTCCGGACGGCCACCCAGCCACCGGCCCACCCGAGGCCCACCCGGCCCACCCCCGGGCACCTGCCCCCACCCCAGTGTAACACCCCCCCACACACACACGCATACCCCTCCCCGCCTCACCGCCATGAAGTCCAGGTTCCACTTGGTCACGCGGTCCAGCCCCGCGTAGCCTCCCGTGGCAAAGCCGCGCAGCAGGTTGAGGGTGGCGGCCGACTGGTTGTAGGCGCGGACGAGGCGCCAGGGGTCGGGCACGCGCGCCGCCTCGGTGAACTCAGGCCCGTTGATGATGTCGCCGCGGTACGAGGGCAGGCTGAGCCCGTCCTTGTCCTCCATGGGCGCGCTGCGCGGCTTGGCAAACTGCCCCGCCAGGCGGCCCAGCTTGACCACGGGCACGCCGCCGCCAAACATCATCACCACCGACATTTGCAGGATGAGGCGGAACAGGTCGCGGATGCGGTTGGCGTTGAACTGGGAGAAGGCCTCCGCGCAGTCGCCGCCCTGCAGGATGAAGGCGTCGCCGGTGGCACACTTGGCCAGCCGCTCCTGCAGCGTGCGGCACTCGCCCGCAAACACCAGCGGCGGGAAGCTGGCGATCTCGGCGCACGCCTTGTCCACCTCCTCCTGCGGCCGCGGCGAGCGGGCGGGGGCGCGGCGGTGTGCGTCAGCAGCGTACATCTCCGGGCACGCGGGCGCCGGGCAAGGTGCAGCGGGAACGGGGCCTGTGCCCCCCACAGAAAACAGGCCCCCCTCAAAACTGAAGGTCTCTCTCCACACCCCACCAACGATGGCGGAATGCCAGGGGCTTGTGGGCTGTGCCAACCCGGAGCCAGCAGCCTCCCCACCCATGCTGCAAAATGGTGCCAGCAGCAGCCCCAAGCGGCAGCACAGCTGCTACACAGACGACCGGCAGGCGATTGGCGAGGGTGGACTCGGCCGCCGCTCCCCTGCCGCCACCAGGGCTTGCATGCTGGCGGCGAGCAGCGGGGGAACCCCAACACCAACCAACAGCTGTTCCCACCCACCTGGTCGGGGTAGGAGGGCTGCTGCAGCGCCGTGTAATTCCTCCAGCTGACATTGCTCCACTTCTGGAGATGATCGGCGTTGGCCTGGAAGGGCACCGTCTTGAGTTCCTCGGCCACCGCACGGGTCACCCGCGTCACCCGCCTGCAGCGGGGCGCCCCGCTGTGTTTGGCGGCGGCGAGGGGTCCCCCCCTCAGTGCTGCACTGCTCTGCATGGCTGCACCCGCGTTGTCACGGGTAGGAGATGGAGGTGCTGGTAATATAGAGAGGCTGGCCACCAGTCTCATATGGGTCGCGCAGGTGGAAACACGTGCCGGGGATGAAGACCTTCCTACCCGGCCTCCAGGCGTCTTGCAGCATCCAACGAACCCATGGGTCTGCTGTAAGACCAATTGGCATCGCCAGGGGAGCACCGCTGCACTCTTTTGCAACTGGGGATGGCAACAGGGGAAGCAGAGGCCCTGCAGGGTGGCGCTGAGTTCAGGGCAATCATAGAGGTGCGGGTGAAGGTGCCACGGCGATCAGTGAACCGTCACACTGTGCCCCTGCAGCGCCGCCGCCGCTGCTGCCGCCTGTGGTGGCGGCAGGCTGTGGCGCCTTGCCTCTGTGCCGAATGCCCAGCCGATCATGCAGCATGTTTCGCTTCATGCAGCCTCCCCCGCTTGCCTGCATCGCCTGCAGGAGTGGGTCAAGGACCACAAGATGTTTGCCTCGACGCTCGCAGAGCTGGCAGGCCAGCTGGCGGTGCTGGAGCCGCCACCCCGCAGCAGCGGGGGGAGCGCCGCCACTAAGGGTCCCTCGGAGCTGCTGCAGCGGGTGATGGCCCGGGCACCCAGCGACTGTCTGCAGTCCTACGTTGCTGGCACGCTGCCCACCACCCACATGCAGCGCCAGCTCCCAGAGCAGCTGGACCAAAACCTGCGGCTGCTGAGCATCCTGGCGGCCGAAATGCGCAGCTTTGTGCAACAGCTGGAGCAGCTGACGGACGCCGCGGCGTCTGCTCTAGTCCAACCTGGAGAAATTGCAAGCAGCAGCAGCGATGAGGCGCTGCTGATGGCTGCTGTGCTGGATGGTGCCGGCAGGGAAACGCAGCTGATTGTGAGTGTGGCAGTGCCCCCACCCTGCATGTTCTGCGTGCCCTCTTGGCAGGAAGCCAGTGCAAGGGATGGCAGCATGGGCAAGCATGCACGTCGGGCTACTTGCGTGCAGGAGAAGGCGGCTGAGGGCATCACTCTGACCACGCCCGCTGAGGAGGTGTCGGCGGCAGCCACCGTCGTGCAGCTGGAGCCCTTTGTAGACGACACTTTGCTAGCTGCGCTGCGCGAGGGCCCAGAAGCAGGAACGTAGGAGTCGCCTCATCCATGCATGGGTGTCCAGTCTTCTTGGCCAGGGGCATGCTTCAGCCATCTGGCATCGACGTTTCATTTTCTCTGGTGAGGCGACCATGCCGCTCGCCACCGATTGGTCCGCTTGTGTTTGCTGAGGTCAGCGCTGTGTGCATCGGTGAAGAGCTCGCTGTGCATTTGGTTTGCAGGAGCAAGTGGCGGCCTGGAGCGATGTCTGCCTGCAAAGCCCCACATTCAAACTTCTGACCTCCAACGTGACCATGTGATGGGTTTGCAGAGCATGAGGCAATTGAGTCGGGTTGCACAGAGCTCTTTGGCGCTTGCGCTCTTTGCCTCACGCTGCGCTGTGGCGGCATGGGCTGCTGGGTGCTGCCAGGCGCGCTGTGTTCCCTCTGTGCGAGCCTCATTCGCGTGTAAAGCGTCACAGGATCGCCCGCTCCCAGTCCAAGCCTGTGTGCGCTTCTGGGCTCGCAACTCGCGCAGTTCGGTTCCTATGGAGCAGCAGACCAGTTCGCTGGTGCTGGCCCTGGGCGGCTTCAGCATCGCGGAAACTGAGCAATCGGAACTGCCAGCGCCTCCTGCTGCCACCGGTCACGCCCGCCAGGCCCGCCAGGTTGCGGCGGGCACTGCCGCTCTTGTAGACCATGCCCGCACCATCGCCAACAGGGCCCTGGAACGCTGGCAGGAGGCGGGTAGCGACATGCTGGAACAGGAGGGGGAGGCGCTGGCGTCGCTGTGCTTTGCGCTGCAAGCCATGCTGGGGCCCTCGACGCGGCTGGCAGACGCCGACGAGCGCAACCTGTTCGACCTGGCTTCTGCGCTGTGGGTGAGTGGAACAGCATACATCTTCCATCGAGAAGGAACTGCATGGCTCGAATGCTGCACGTCACGCGCCCCATGCGTAGGGCGCCAGCCTGCAAGCGCTGTCGGCCGGCGGCGCGGCCGAGGCGGCCAGCGCGCCACTCGACCGCATGGGCAGCGACCTGTTTGCGCTGGTGGACGGCGACAGCGACGCCACCCAGGACTGCGCGCGATACGTGGCCTACTTCAGCGCCGCTGCGCGCAGCTGGGCGGCGGCAGGGCAGCGGGAGAAGGCCGGGTGGTGTGTGCAGCGCGCCATGCGCTACTCGCAGCAGCTCGAGGCGCTGGTGGGCAGCGAGGAGGTGGGGGTGGAGCGCAAGGAGGGCTATGTGGTCAGCCTGTTCAACCTGTACATCGAGGCAGCCAAGTCCTCAGCCGACAACAAGCAGCAGGTGGGCTGTGGGTGCTGCGGGGCGGCCGCCTGGTCCTTGCAGCTCTGCTTCCGGGTGCTTGCCCTGCAGATTGTGCAGGCAGCACGCTATTCTTGCCTGCTGTGCAATGGATTTCAGCACCCACAAGTGCGCTGCTCCTGTGCTGCAGGCTCTGGCCACCAATCTGCTGAGCAGGGCGGTGCAGCTGTCGCGGCACGCGGCGGTGGGCCCGGATGCTGCGGCGTGCTGCGCCATGGCGGTGGCCGAGCTGCAGCTGGAGCAGGCGCGCCACATGTTTGCCAAGGGCGGCACCATGTGCGGCCTGGCAGCCGCTCTCCTGACCAGCAGCTACCAGCAGCTGACCACGGGCGACCTGCAAAGCGCATGCATGGGTGGCGGCCCGCATGCCGCGGGCCTGATGTATGCGAAGAAGCAGGTGGGCAGGAGCTGGCCTGCTGGGAATGTTGCGGGGCATGTGTGGCTGCCAGCCGTGCCAGATGGGGGCCACCCACAGCAGCAGGAGCCTCCCCTGGGTGCGGCTTGCCATCATGCCACGAGTCCCACGGCCTGGCCGCAGGTGCTGGCGCTGCTGTGCAAGGCGCACCTGGCCAGCGGGGATGCGGGGCTGGCATCCAAGGTTCTGGACGCGCTGGAGGGGGAGGCGCCTGGGGCGGCGGCGGCTGACCCCGGCATGCAGCTGGTGTATGTGGAGGCCAAGGTGGGGGCTGGGCGGGTGCCTGAGGCGCTGCGCTTCCTCATGGCGCTCATCCAGAAGCAGCAGGCGGACCCGGCAGCTGACGCCGCACCCGGGGCTGCTGACGCGGCGGCGGCCACCTTCCTGGCCGGCCTGCGCCTGGCGCTGCGCCACATCAGCGACGACACGCTGCCCAGCTTCCAGTCGGCCGTCAGCGCGTTTGTGTGGCGCGCCACCGCAGCATCCCCGCCCACGCCGCTGCTCGGCCTGGTGCAGACGCTGCTGGCGCAGGAGCAGGCAAGAGCTGGCCGCAGCGGGCAGCTCTGGGGTGCACAGGCTGGCATTTGTTGACGGCACACCTGCAGAAGGGGGCGCCACAGAGTGGACAAATGCGCCTCCTGCCCCCAAACTGTCGCTTGCAGGGCAGCGAGCTATGCCACAGGCTCGCGCTGCAGGTGCTCGGCAGCGAGGACGTGTCGGCCGCCGCGCACCGCGATGCCGCCGTGCTGGCACAAGTCCACGGCCTGCTGTTCCACCGTGCCGCCCACTGCCTAGAGGCTGGCAGCTGCTCTGCCGCCAAAGAGCTGTTCGGCGCGGCCCTGCAGTTTGCCAGGCCGGAGGCTCGCGCCAAGAATGCGCGCGCGCTGGCGGTGTGCCACAGCCGGCTGGGCACGCACCAACGTGCGGCAGAGTACCTGGCCATCGCGGCCAGGCACGAGCAGCAGCCCAGCAGCCTGACGCAGCTGGCGCGCCTGCAGGCGCTGGCGGAGACGGGGGATGCGGTGCAGGTGGGCCAATGAGCACGCATGGGTGCATGCCTGCTGCCGAGCATGCCAGGCAGCTGGTATGGCTGGGCTGGGCCTGAGCATCGTGCATGCCCTGTGCCTTCCTGCAGGCCGTGGCAGCCATCCGCAGCCTCACCTCCTGCCTCGACTTCCACCCCTCCCTCATCGCCGCCATGTGCCAAGCTGCGGCCAAGGCACAGCATCCGGCAGTATACAAGGAGGCCCTCAGCTCAGCTACACAGCTGCTCATCAAGCCTGAGGCGGCCACCAGCTCGCTGCCAGCCGGCCAGGAGGCGGCGCTGCTGCTGGGTCTGGTGCGTGCCATCGATGCCTGCCTCAGGGCGGCAGCGCCAGCGGCAGAGGCGGGCACAGGGGCGCCAGCAGGTGGCAGCATGGCAGCGCTGTATGGCGAGCTCTTAGCAGGCGTCAAGCTGGTGGCCAGGCGGCTCAAGCTGCTGGGCTGGCGCAAGTTTGTGGGCGCCTCACAGGACGAGGTCAGTTGTGCTGTGCATGCGCTCACCTGGCAGGCTGCCCGCTCTGCATCTAATATCCCACCAACTCCCTCCTCGCCGAGTGCAGGCCAGCACTGTGCAGGCCATCTGCGCCACGGCCTACAACCAGCTCCTGGCGGCACAGCAGCACGGCGCACACGAGCATGTGGTGGCCCTGGCGACGACCCTGTTCCAGCTGCTGCCGCTCGCTGACCAGCATCTGCGGGTGGAGGCCACCGGCGCGGCGCAGCAGGCGCGGGTGCTGATGCTGGCGCAGCAAGCCCTGCTGGACCTGCATGCTGTGCAGTCAGAAGGGTGAGAGCTGGCTGGGCGCGGGCACATGTTTTTACTCTGTTTGATCAGCACCATTGCATGCCTGCGCCTGTTCGGGTGGCGGCCAGCGTCCTTTTGGCGCACCCCTCACTTGCCGCGGGTGCACCAACTGCCCTGCAGCGGCCAGAAGCTGGCGCTGGCTGCCAAGCTGCAGGCTCGGCTGGCCCAGCACATGCCCTGCCTGGCCCCGGAGCAGCATCCCCAGCTGCACCTCCTGCACCACATTCTGTGCCTGGAGACAGCTGCCCGGCAGGGCGACGGCGCAGCCCTGCTGCAATGCATCAGCAAGCTGCAGGCGCACGCCGGCCAGCTGACGGCTGCACAGCGTGCCAGCATTCTGAGCACCGTTTGCAGCCAGCACAGCATGGTGGTGCAGGAGGCTGCTGCTCGCCTGCTGCTGGACAGCATGGCAGCTGATGGCGGCCTGCCTGCCATGTCGCTATTGCCCGCCATGCTTGGCCAGCTGTCGCTGTCTGCTGAAATGCGACTGCGCGCAGTGTGCCGCTGCCGCCAGCTGCTGGCCGCCATGCCTCTGGAGAGCCGCGACTCAAGCTGGATACAGTGCACTGAGGTGAGTGAGTGAGGGGCTAGCATGGTCATGCCTGCCTGCCACTCCCTGCTGCGTGGCACCCAGCCCAGCGCACCGATGCATCTGCCTGCGTCTGCAGTGGCTGGCAGTGCATGCCTGGAACGAAGGCACCAAGCTGGCACGAAGGCACTCAGCTGGGCGCAGTGAGCAGACAGCAGAGCTGATCAGGGCAGCGGTGCAGCTGCAGGAGGCATGCGCGCCGGGAGGTGCTGATAAGCTGCGCCGAATGCGAGCAGCGGTGGCGGCAGCGGGCCTAGACGATGGCGCTGTGTCTGCGGCAGGGGCCAAGGTGGCAGAGGGCGGCATGGTGGTGGCGGCAGCGATCTCTGGTGCCCCATTGCCAAGCGGCTCAGCTTCAGTGGGTGCAATCGCCGAGCCAGCAAGGCCGCCACCAGCTGCCGACACCGCTCAGCCTACAGTCAGCGGTGCAGAGCAATGCGCTGCTCCCCCGCGCCCGGCTGCTGGGGCAACTGCACTGGAGCCTGTGGCTCACAGCGCCTCGTCCTCTCCCCATGCCAGCGGCGGTGCCGCCGCTCCGCCTGCAGTGGCAGCACGTGCGGGACATGTGGTGCAGGACATGAGCCCACAGCCGCCCATTGCTGCTGCGGCAGCTGCCTGCCAGGCACCACCGCATGCCGCCGCTCTGCCCGAGGAGATGGCTGATGCGGCAGCAGTGCCAGGACCTGCTGCTTCCGATGCTGTGCTGCCCACGCCGGCATCAATGTCGGCGGATGAGGAGGATGGGCTGTCAGACAGCGACGGCGAGGGCGATGCTCCTGGCGGCGGCTGGCTGGCCTCCATGCTGGCTGCCCACAAGCGGGCGCTTGGCGATGCCGGCGATGGGCCGGCCAAGCGGCAGGCGGTGGCGGGACCTCTGGGCCGCAGGGCAGCAGCCCCCGCCTCCTTTCCCAGCCGGCGGCAGCGGGGCCCTCCTGAGCAGCCGGCGCCAGCAGATGTCGACGGCGCTGATGCTCTGAGCCTGGCCGACAGCATGCCAGGTGGCTTCATGGCGCTGTGAAGCAGCTGCCAATGCACGCTTTGGTGAATGTCAAAAAGCTGGATGGTGATTACAAGCCAGAGCTAGGGCGGTAGCAGTACTGTGCCAAGGGGATATGGTAGCATTGCAGCAGAGCAGAGCGCAGCAGCAAAATGAAGCGATAGCGTAGCAGTGCTTGGTCAGTGTCATGTCGGGAGGGCGGGTCAGCTGAGACGTTTGGTTGTGTACACGGCATGCATCATTCATTGAGACAGGGCGCGGGGCCGGGCCGGGGCGGGGCCCGCGCCTCACACCTCCTTGCACGCCTCGTACTGCGGCGGCAGCTCCAGGCAGATGGGCCCCAGCGCCAGGCTGCGGAAGTCCTTGAGTATGCGCTGCCCCGCGCGCTCCGGCTCCGAGTTGAACAGGCGGTCCCCCAGCGCATGCACGTACTCCTCCTCCTGGTAGTCCTCCACCCGCAGCTTGTACCGCTCGCTGATGCGCCGCGCAATCTGGGGCGCCGCGGGCAGGCCGCGCACCGTCTCCAGGAAGGCGGCCGCCACCAGCGAGTCGACGTACGCCGCCTCGCCAATGTCGTTGCACATGGCCAGGCGCTGGGCAAGGGGGGAGGGGGCGCGGGCGGGTCAGGGCAGGGGAGGTGGGGCTGAGGCTAGCGATGGCGATGCTGGGTGCGGGCTGCTGGTAGGCCTCGAGACTCCCTCGCTCCCTCCCTCCTTCAAAGCTCAGGCTGGCTCCCTCCCTCGGGCCCACCCCGCCCCCGCCGCCCGCCACACCTGCGCGGCCACCTGGTCCCTGAAGGACATGGGGATGATGCCGGGCGCGTCCAGCAGGTCGATGTCGCCGCCGATGCGCGCCCAGCGCAGCGACCGCGTCACGCCCGGCTTGGGCGCGCTGTCCGCCACGCGGCGCCCCAGCAGGCGGTTGATCAGCGCCGACTTGCCGACGTTGGGGAAGCCGATGACGACGGCGCGCACGGGGCGCGGGCGCAGGCCGCGCGCCAGCCGCTTGGCGTTCAGCTTGGCCCCCACCGCCGCAGACAGCTCCATCACCTGCGCGAGTGGGTGCGGGGCGTGCGGGGCGGGGCTGGGTGCAGCGGCACCGGCTGCGCCTGGCCCTGGCCCCCGCGCCGGCCGGGCTGGCGGGGCACACAGCAGCAAAACGTGCCCTGTGCTCGGGTGCAGAACTGGGCCCCGCGCCCGGCGCGCCCCCCCACCTTGCCCACGCCGTCGCCCATGCTGCCGTTGGTCCAGGTCACGGCGTGGCCGCGCTGCGCGAAGAAGCGGGTCCAGGCGGCGCGGTCCGCCTCCGCCACCATGTCCTTGCGATTGATGAGCAGCACGCGCGGCTTGGTGCCAATCCACTCGGGGATGAGCGGGTGGCGCGTGCTCATGGGGCACCGCCCATCCCGCACCTCCAGCACTATGTCTACCGCCTTGAGCTGCTCCCGCAGGTTGCGCTCCGCCCGCGCAATGTGGCCCGGGTACCACTGCACCATGTTGACGGCCTGAGGGAGGCAGGCGGAAGGGACGCAGAGGGGAATCGTTTGGCAGGGTGCTGGCTGAAAGTGCGGACGTCGGCGCGGGCGAGTGCACAGGGAAGGATGCAGCCAGGGGCGGCACACCATGCCAGGAGATGCCTCAGATGTAGGTGCTGCTGCCACAAAACCGATCTCAACAAGGCAAATGCAAACCATCTGGCAGCCAGACGAGGCGCAGGGCGGCAGGGCGGCAGGCGGCGCACCTCGATGCCGCTGCGCAGGTCGCGGGCTATCTGGTCCAGCAGCTCGTCCCCCTTCTCCCCCGGCTTCAGGGCCACATCATTCAGCAGCGCTTTGCCCCGCCGCTTGCTGGAGGCGGGCTTGCCTGGCGGCCGCTGCTGCTGCTGGGCGGCGCGTGCTTGCAGCCGTGCCCCACGCCTGTTGCCAGCCGCTTGTAACTGGCTGTTTGGCCAGGCAGCCGACTGCATGGCTCTCAGCAATGGCTGTATGTCCGCCGCCCAGCACTTGAGGCTGCAAATGTTTGAGATAGGGAGCAGGTGGACAATGCATGCAGGCGAATGGCTGTATCGGGCGCACGTGAGAGGGTACCTCCGCAGTACAATCGGTCAGAGGTGTGCGATCGAAATCGATAGGCCTGCGCGCCCACCCTACGTCCAGACAACTGTCCGTGTGGTGTCCGACCAGGCATTCAGTGGGTCTTGTGTGCAGTGCAGCCCAACTTTTGCTTCAGCGCCGACCGCCAGTCCGTGCGCTCCCACCTCTTTGGTTGAGGTCCTGGGTGACTCAGCTCGCCATCTGACATCGCCAAGGCGCATCTGAGCGCGGGTGGCAGGCCCGGGCAGTGGCCAATATGCAGCAACAGCATGAGCCATCGGCTGTAGCTGGTGAGTGCTCTGCTGGGGGTGATCGCGGGCCCAGAGGCCATACTGTGGTGGTGGGCCGCCCACCCTACCGCTGCAGACAGCGTGGTAGGCCAGTGGGCAGTCATGCACTGCGGCACCGCCACCGTGCTCCGCCCCCCAGGGCGCCGCTGGCACCCGGGGGTCGCACTCTGCTGCAGCCGCCCCCGGCCCCTGCCCCTTGGCTTGCCGGGGGACCCGGCAAGGCATGGGCGCTGCCCAGCCGGCCACGTGCTGCCCTGCCAGCGCCATTCTGGCCCGCCCGCTGACGCCGCCGCCTCGCCGCGCCGCGCCCGCTCCCTGCAGGCGTACCGCGCCTGTTTGTGGGCCAGATCCCCACCTCCTGCACGGAGGAGGACTTGGTGCCGGTGTTTGCGGGGTATGGGGAGATCGAGAAAGTCAGCCTCGTGCGCGGGCCGGACAACAAGAGCCGCGGCTGCTGCATGGTGCGCGGGCGGCGGCGGCGGCGCTGCGTGCCAGCCAGCTGCCCGCGGCGGCGCGGCTCCCCGGCCGCTCTGCTTGCCCCTGCAGCTGCATGCAGCGGTGGGGCGGTGGTGGGCGTGGTGGCTGGGTGGGGAGGCCGGAGTTTGAGGCGGCGTGTTGCGCCCCCTGCTGCCACATACTGCAGGTCCAGTTTAAGCGCTGGGCTGATGCGGAGCGCGCGATGCTCGACGTCAACGGCACCAGCCCGCTAGAGAGCGGCAAGGGGCGGCCGCTGGTTTGCCACTTTGCCAACCCCAGGAGAACCATGGGCAGCCAGATGAGCGAGACAGCCATCGCGCCGCGCAAGCTGTTTGTTGGGCAGGTGCGGCGTGTGCGCGGGCAGCCCGCCGCGGCCGCTTCTGTCCTCTGCCGCCACCGCAGCCAGCCCTGCCTGTCCAGCCCTGCCGCGCACGCTTCGCTGCCTGGTTCCGGCTTGCGGCGCCCCACCACCCCGCCGCCTGCTTCCCCCAAGCAGATCCCCAAGACGTCTGTGGAGGCCGACATCCTCGCCGTGTTTGGTCCCTTTGGCGAGGTGGAGCAGATCAACATCCTCAAGAGCAAGGGCGTGCACGCAGGTGGGAGGGGCGGCCGTGCGCTGGCGCGGGCTGAGGAGAAGGCAGGCAGCCGCCGCTGCTGCGTGGCGCAGGCCAGGGTGGCCGGCTGCTTGGCACGCCCTGGCGCGCCCGCTGGGTCCCTTGTCGTTGGCCGGCATCCGATCGCTGCTGCCGCGGCCCCCCTGGTCCCCCTGCAGGCTGCGCCTTTGTGCAGTACAGCTCGTGGGCGGCGTGCGAGGCGGCCATCGAGGCGCTGCATGACAAGACCACGATGCCGGGCGCCGAGCACCCGCTGGTGGTCAAGTTTGCGGATGCCAAGAAGAGCGATGCCGGCATGATGCAGAAGCGGGTGAGAGGCCGGCAGGGGGCCGGGGCGGGGGCAGCAGGGCGCAGCGCCCGATGCGGACGCTTTGATGGATGAGGGAGCGCCAGGCCTGGTGCGCGTCGTGTGCCATTGCCGCGCGCTGGCCGCCTGCCTGATCGCCGCGCTGCCGTCGCCTGCGTTGCGCCGCGGCTGCAGGGCCTGGGCATGATGGGTATGGGCGGCTTTGGCGCGCACCCCGCGCTGCTGGGCGCGCACCACCACCACCCGTACGGCGACATGGGCCTGCCGGGCATGACCCACATGGCCATGCCTGGCATGGGCGGCCTGGGCGCCATGAGCGGCCTGCTGCAGGCCAACGGGCTGAGCCACGCGGCGCTGGGCATGGGCATGGGCATGGGGCTGCCCAGCGGGCTGGCTGGCGGCAAGCCGCACGGCCTCGGCTCGCACGACGGCGGATCAAGCGAGAACCTGCTGTCGTCGGAGACCGGTGGGTGGCGCCGCGCCCTGCCTGACCCGACCCGCGGCCTGGGCCGGCGGGGCGGCGCGGGCAGGGGCTCCCACCCCCTGCCAGCCTGCCGGCCTGCCCACGCAAGCCCTGCCGCTGCACCCCTGGCAGTTTGTGGGGGCGTGTGCCGACTCGAGCGTCTGTGCCCTGCCTGCCCCCCTCCCTTCCCGTCCCCGCAGACGGCCCCTCCAGCCTGGCCCCCCTGCCCACCAGCA